GGACAGACTGGTGGCCTGATCAACTGAGAGATAAAATGTAGGGGCTGTGAATCCTTGTTAGGGGCTGGGCTTTCAGCTCACAGTGTGCTGTGGGGAGGGAGGGTCAGCCTATCCTCCCCACTGGCTGTAGGAAGCTCTGCTTCCCTGCATGACTTGGACCCCAACAGGCCAAAAGTTCTGTACTCCTTAAGCCCCGGGCAGTCTGGCCTGAACCAGCCAGATTCCAGAGGCCCACACACTTCCCTCCTGCTTATACCTCTGTCCGGGGTGCCAGTTTTATGTATGCATTAAGGTGAGAGGGCACAAGGGGCCACGTGTGCAGCTCCGGGCTCTGAACATGCTGTTAATTTCTGAAACTGATGGTCAGTGGAGCGGCTCTCCCAGGGGCAGGGAACATTTTTCCAGGAGTGGATTGCTGAGCTGCCCCCCAGTACCACATTAACTCAGGAAGACATCCTGGAGCGGCAAGTGGGGATGGTGCTGGGCTCCAATTGAGAAATGGAGCCTGGGTAAGGCAGCACCAAGGCTACCAGCCAGGTCACAGCCCACAGCTGATCTTCAAGAGACAGAGACATCAGCATCTAGCTGATTCTAATCACAAAATACAAGCTGACTGCCCTTTCCTTCTCCATGGCTGGTGGTCCTGGCCATGGGAAACCTCTGGCTGACACCCTCCTCTGAGTGACCTTCTCATGCTGTCAGCATGGATTCAGTTCAAGCCCCTGGGAAGTTCACCCTTTTCATGGTGGGTGAGTGAGCCTGGGGTGGGAGTGGGTAAGGACAGGCTCAGGGTCTCAGGCTGCCAAGCTGGACAAACCAGACAGCAGGGATGCAACCCAGCATGGTTGAGTAAACAGAGTGAACAGGGGAAGGATAAGACAGGAAGGTCACACTTCTCACCCGGGAGCTCTAGGGTAGTCCCAGCCACCCTCAACTTGCTCTCTTTGGAGTAACCTCTGCTCATCACAGGCAGCATTCAAGTCCAAAGTCCCACCCGAGAGAAAAATCATGTGACTTTGGCTTATATAATCTCCCTGTCACTGAACAGCTGGAACCAAGGCTTTGGAAGATGAGTCAGCAGCCCAAGTGGCAAATAGGACCCAGGTACTCAGGTTCCCAACCCTTTGCTCCTAGAAACAGGTCCCAGAGCAGAGGGCAAGGGTGTGGAAGAGACTGGAGAAGAGGCTGGACTGATGGGGAGCCTCGGCCCCTGGCTCTGCGTCCGAGGAGCAGGTGCCTGGCCTGCTGACTGTGCTCTGGAAGGCCCTGGGCCAACCCTGGGCTCTTCTTGTGGAGAGGAGAGGGTGGCCTGGGCAGGGTGGGGTGAGGGCAGGGCTGAGGCCAGCGGGCAGAATGCCAGGGCTGGGGAGGGAGCAGCTGGAGGGGTGGGGTGGGGGAGGATTAGGAAGGATTGTAGGGGTTAAAGCACAGCCCTGGCAGGGCTCAGGGGAACAGCTTGTCCTTCCATAGGCCCCTGGAACAGGAGAGGTGGGGCGGAGGGGGGAGATGGCAGGGCTGGGTACTCAGGCTTCTGGCTCTCTGCAGGGATAAGCTATCTGGGCTGGCCTGGAGTCCTCGCTGGGGGTAGTGAAAGCTTTTTTCCCACCATCACTGTCTCTCCTCTCTCTCTGCATTTTAAGTGGAAGGTGGAGCCTCAGGGCAGGCCCTCGTTACCCTGGAGCTGAGCTGTACCCCCAGGACTGGCATTTTGTCAGGTGCTTACACAAGCATGGGGAGGGGGGTTATTCCGAATTCGTGTCCCCCCTGCCCGTTCCTTACTCATGCTCAGCTGAGTTTGTGATATTCCAAGTTCACGTTGGCTGTACCTCTGATGAGGGGAAGGAGTCCAGTTAAAACCATTCTTCTCCCTGCTTTTGGCCTCCCTTTATGAACACCAGCCGAGAGCCCCCGGTCCACAGGATGCTCTTCCTACCTTTGTTCCTCCCACAGGGAGCCCCTCCGCACTCGGGTCAGCCGCGACATGCCCCCTATCATTCCTTCCCCCTTCAGTTTAAAGGAGCTCCTCCTCCGTAGCGTAGCAGCTGCAGCGTTTGGCTGGTTTCAGATTCCCCCACATTCGCTATTTACTTTGAGCCTCAGGGCGTCCGGGTCAGCCGCGACATGCCCCCTATCATTCCTTCCCCCTTCAGTTTAAAGGAGCTCCTCCTCCGTAGCGTAGCAGCGTTTGGCTGGTTTCAGATTCCCCCACATTCGCTATTTACTTTGAGCCTCAGGGCGTCCAGTGAGTTGGGCAGGGCAGGCGGGAGCATTCCCTTTTATAGATGAGGAAATACAGCTGCACTGATAAGTGTCCCAGGGGAAAGAGGCAAACTGTTCCTTCCCTGGGTCATAGCAGCCCGTTCCAGCCTCAGATGACCTCTCTCTTTCCCACCACCTATGGCACTTAAAACGCCTCCTATTAGGAGCAATAGGCTGCCTCCTACTGCAAATATTTAAGAACTTAATTCCCTAAGGGAATTATGAATGCACCGAGGGCAGGGACCATGGCTCCCACATCTCTTGCTTCTCAAAGCACCTGGAATGGTGCAAAGAGAACTAATATTTACTGAGCACCTACTACATGCCAGGCATTTACATACATTACCTTTCAATTCCTCACAATGATCTATGAAGTGAGAACTGTGATCACTCTCATTTTACAGAGGGGGAAATAGGTTGAGAAGTCAGGGAAGCCAAGGTTACACTGCTAGTAAGCTGAGCACTGTAATGAATGAACAAGAAGGTAAGATCCCCAAATGGAGATCTGAAAAGAAAATGGACCTGGTTTTAGAAAGAAGTGGTCCAGGCCCCATGAAGAGGGCTGTTCTCACCTCAGCACGATGCAGTCAGCTGAAAGAAGTGAGGATGAGAGGGTGAGGAGAGAGGGGTGAGGTTAAATAAAGGTTTTACACCATTGACCCTTAGAGGCCTTTCCTGGTTGGCAGTGTCTTCTTGAGTGTGAGCTGGGAATGAAACACTAGCTCAACTGTAGCACATTCCTGGCTACTTAACTGTGTCACTTCTGGGTGGGAAGTGGGGATGTTAGGGTGGCTGAGTTTGCCCCTGGGCAATCTGCCATTCCTCTGAGGTCCTCTCTCAAAATTCCCCTTGCCCTGGCCATGGGGGCAGGAGTGGGGCTGGGGTGTCCCCTTTGGGAGGGATGGGGGATAGCAGACTCCAGAGAGGATTGGGGTATGCCTGTGTGGGAGGGAGGCAGATCCGCAGTGTTATCTGACCCCCAGTAAAGAGAGACCCTACTCTCTCATGATTGGGGCTGAGGGTGGGTCTGCAGTTTAGTCTGTGGTGAGGTTTCCAAACCTCAGTCTGCTTAGGGATCACCTGAAGAGCTTGTGAAAAGGGCAGGTTCCCAGGCACTATCCTGAGAGAGTTCGATCCAGTGGGTCTGGGTGAATAGTTAAGCCCTGCAGGGGATTCTGATGAGGGAGTCTGCAGACCCCACTTTGAGGAGTGCTGCTTACCATAAAGAATCTTTCTCTTCTGAGCAAAGGAAGCGAGCCCCTCAGAGGCTGCTAGGAGCTAAGCCCTCCACTGAGCTGCTTTCTGATTGTCCCTGGGGTTGAACACCACCACACATGTCCAAGTGAACCCTGCTCCACCCCAAGCCTGGCACATGGCCCATGACAGAATGTATTTCTCTCCCAGGCCAGCCCTGTCATGACACGTGTTTATCCTGCCACTCCCATCTATAATAGCTCTCCAATGTAGCCAACCTGCCTCCTTGTCAGGATCTGGATGTTCTGGGAGGCACCAATTTTTGTTTCTCCCATGGCACTTCACAGACGGCCCAGCAAGGCCAGGACTGAGTAATGTTATCAAAGTTGTCCTCTCAAGAACTTCAGTTATGACAGCTTCAAGGTCTGTGATCCAACACCCTGCCACTAGTCTGAAGCCCTGCTCCATTTTTCTGGACAGGCCCTCTAAGCAACATTTCTTGCTGTGGTATAGCTGTTGTTTTCAAAAGGCACATGTCCTAGAAGGAGGGGAAGGGTTCATCAGGGGGAGACACAGCACACAATCCTCCTGCCCATATGCTTGCCTGTCTGTCCACCTGTCCATCTACCCATCCATCTACCCACCTGCCCACCCATCCGTCTATCTGCCCATCCATCTACCCATGCAATCATGGATAGGTGAGCTGGGCTCCCCACTGTGCGAGGCACATGGTGAAGGATCTAGAGATAAGATTTCTTGTTCACCCTCTAGAACTCGCCACCTAGTGGGCACACTAATAATGACAGAAAAGGCAGAATAGTCAATGCCCCAAGAGGTGTGTTTGGGGATTAGATGCCAGCAAGGCCAGGCCAGCCCTTGGTTAATCTCCAGCAGAGTTTCTTCCCTGATTGCAGCCGAGGCAGGGCTGGAATACAGATGTACCGGATAGTCTCAAGCCTTAGACAAAACTTCTCCATTATTTCCTCCAAAGTCATTTGATAAGTACTGCTATCCAGACACCCTGATCCTGAGCCCACAGTGCAAATCTGAGGAGAGTCCCTCTTTCCCTGCTGTTTTATGCTTAAATGTAAATCTGAGTCCCTGGGCTGGAGAGTAAAGCACAAGTGGGGGAGATGCAACCAAAGCAGGGGGATCACTCTTGCCACAGGGAGCACTGGTGGTCTGGGGGTCCGGCATCCAGCCCAGGATGGGGCAGGGCCTGCAGGAGACCCTGGCATGTTGGGCGGAAAAGGAGAGGGTGAGAAGAGCAGTGTATGTGGGGGTAACCGAACATGCCTGGACTGCCCCCTAGTGCACAGCTCCTGAACTGGGCTTGCTAGGAAGAGTGGGAAAGCCCCTGCGCTTGGAATGAGCCTCGAGGGCACCAGACACACCGGGATGAATTCCCTTGCTTGTCTCCACTAGGGCTGCAGGAGCAGCCACCACTGCCATCAATCATCAGTCAGGTTGGGAGTCCTGCCCTCAACCTGGCTCTTCTACATCAGTGGCTGCCTCCCCCGCCAGTCATGCACCAAGGGTAAACTCACCATAGTGTCTCGCCCTGGGGAGCTGGAGCGGCTGGGCCCAGGGACCTGGCCCTTGCCCTTCTCCCACAGTGTGTAGCGGCCACTGGGTCGGTAGGTGGGGCTGAGGACTTCAGGGACTCGTGAGGGAGAGGCCTGGGTGGGCACCTGAGGTGCGCTGCCTTTGCGACCATAGTTCTCCAGGTAGTCGGCCAGGTACTCGGAGCGGCTGGCTGCCTGGTAGAGCCCCTGCAGGGCGCAGAGTTCCTTGCGTGTGCTGGCCAGCATGGGGCTGCGGCCCAGGTTCCCGGGGTCTATCCGGTAGCTATCTGAGGTCCGGAGGCTGGAGAAATCCCGGGCCAGGTCTGATTGGCTGTTCGACTTCTTCTGCGTCAGGGTTATCCCCTGGTCGCGGGCGCTCATGGGCATGTAGCTGAGGGAGTTGTTGGTCACTCCATAAGCGAATCCACTGCCCCCACTGAGTCCACTGCCTGAAGGCCGCTCAGTGCACCGGGTCTGACTCTCCGCCCGCTTACCAACCCCGATGATGTCGGGTCTCAGCAGAGGGCGGCCCCGGTCATAGTCCAGAATGGAGGAGGGGCCATAGGTGCGGGGACGGGTGAGGAAGCTGGTGGGAGGGCCTGGCTTGAAACCAAGCTTCTCCTTCTCCAGGAAGGAGGTGGCCAGGTTGGCCCCGTAGGAGGAGGGGGTGTAGGTGCCATAGCCTGATTTGGCGTAAGAGACATCTGTGTAGCGGGCTGATTCTGTGTAGCGCTTCAGGGTGGAGGAAAGCTGGGACATCCTTCAGGACAGCGCTCACTGGGGATCAGGAGCCTCATGGGCTGAAAGACAAGGAAAGCAGCAGTCAAGGGCCCTGCCAGGTGTCAGGCTGCCACTGCACCTTTTCTCTAGCCCAGCTGGGCCAGAACCTTGGAGCTCAACCAGGGGCTACCCAGTCCATTTCCACAAGAGGCTGGCTGGCGCTGAGAAACACATGTATGCAGGTGTGCACACAGGTTTGCAGGTACCTGTGCTTTCACACCTTAGTGAGAGTACAGAAGATGAGCTGGCTTTTATCAGCCTCAGGAAAATCAGTCTTGGCACATGCGGGCTAATCAGAGTACTCCCTTCAAAGGCCCAAATATGCAAGTGGGGGCTGCCCGACCTCCCCAGCCCTCCAAGCCATACACAGTCTGCCTTCCAGCCCTAATGCCCTCTGGTCCCTCTCCTCAGTTTCTGCAGAAACTCCTGAGTTGAAGGATGCCACTGCCCTCATCCCCTGGGTTGAGAATACTGGACAATCCAGGAGTTAAGACCACTTCCGTCCCTCTTCTGACTTATGTGCCAAGCAGGAGTCTTTCTGGAATCAGACTGTCTGTGCTGGAATGACCTGAAGATCATGTGGTCAGATCTCTTGTGAAGAAAAGGAGGCTCATGAGAGGAAGTAATGAGGGACTGGTGGGCACGGGGAGGCGGAGAGTGAGCATGTGGCAGAGAGGGAGCTGCAACTTGGTCTCCAGACTCCATCCCAGAGCTTTCCCCTGGACATGGGCACCTGCTGCCCTGTGCTGTGGTGCTGAGCTAAGCTTTTTGTCCTAAATGTGGTTAGGGCCCTCTATCCTCCCGGGGGTTCCCCTACCAACATCAGCCCAGTGTTCCTGGCATACTTGACTTGTGCAAAGGGGGCCTCTAGAGGCCAAAATCCTGCACTGCAGGCAGCACTCCCAGTACTCCCCACCCACACCTTCCCCTGCTGCCTTGCAGCTGGGGTGGGTCTGGTGGAGGAACACAGAACTAACTAAATGTGGAGCCTTGAGGGCCCTAAAGCATCATGCATTTAAACCTCTCTGTTGTATAGATGGGAAAAATGACACTGATCTGCCCAAGGTCACAAGCTAGCAGAGGCAGGATTGGAATCCAGGTCTTTCAGAATCTGGCTCAACACTTAACCTTAACCTTGGTTCACAACTCTCCATCAAATTTAAGCTCAGTTGGGGACGCTCGTAGTCCCTCCATCACCCTACATGTGCAGGCTTTATCCAGTGGAGCAGAGATGCTTTGGAGAAAGGAGCAAGTAGGATCAGGCCCCTTTCCTTGAGGGCATCAGGAGCTCTTGGGGGGATTCTGGGGGTGGGGAGTGGAGGCAGAGCCATCCAGGAGTCATAGTAGTGTGTACCAGGGCTGATTTCGACTCATCCTGTGACGAACTAGCTGGGCGATTTTGCACTAGTCATTTAACCTCTTTGAGCCCCAATTTCCTCACCTGTAAATGACCCAAATCATCATCATCATGGTTCCTAGCTCACAGGGTTGTTGTGAGGAAAAATGAGATAATAACATGTGAAAGAACTCAATGATGACAGTCGTTATTATCTCCTTCCCCATCCCCTGCCAAGCAGCCTGGCTCCTCCTTTCGTGGGTCTATAATAATGTCAGGGCTGGCCGCTGACCTCAGCCCAGGGCACCAGGCTTCCCCTTGCACCTCCAGTGAGATAAGCACCCACAGCCTGCCCTGGGCCAGCAGCCCAGCTCATTAGGGCAGAGAGGAGCTGGTGCCAAGCCCCAAATGCTGAGGGCTTGGAAGAAAGCTCTAGAATCCCAGTCCAGCAGGGGTGGGAGATGAGCAGGTGGCAACTTCCATATAGGTCCCAGAACAACACTCCTTGACCCTACCAGACACCTCCAGCAATATTCAGTCCAGGCTGGCATCAGAAAGTCCTGGTCCGTCTTACTGTCTACCCTTTTTCTGCTGGGCCCAGGGGATCCCCGACCCTTCATGTCCCCTCCCTTTCCCCTGTGCTCCTACCGGGCACAATCGTCACTCTTTCTAGGAAAAGGTAACTGGGGGAGGATCTCGTGCAAGGTTAGAGAGAAACCACAGGGAGAGACAGGCACAGAAGTGGGGGTGGGGGCCCAGTTCTGCTCTATTTCACTTTGGAGAACACCATCAATAATGTAAAGTCAAAGAGACTCCAGGTCTCGGGAGCTGGGCTCTGGGACACCAGGCAGCCAATCAGATACAACCTCCCACTTTCCGCAGGGCATGAGCTCATGGCTCCTCCCCAGGGCTCTCCACCTCCCCCTGCTAAGGCTCCTGGAGAATTGGTATTCTGCAGCAGTGCCCCAAGCCCGTGACCTCTCCTGGCCCTGCTGATGACGCAGAAGTGCTGGGCAAAACAAAGTACACTGGACAGGACAGACAGCCCATGAAAGGTTTGGGCTGGAGGTGGAGCCGCACCTTCCTGCCCGCAGAATCCCAGCGGGCTCCCAGATCTCTGCTCTCCTGTCTGCTCCAACCTGGCAGACACCTGCCAAACCTCCCCCACTCTCCCCAGCAGCCCTGAGAGTCATGCCATCACTAACACCCCCTGGAAGCTGCCTCTTGGCTTTGACATCTGGTTTAGGGTCCCTACTGGGGCCAAGGCCTTGCGCATGTCTGTTCCCTCCACCAATCCCAAGTTTCCCTCTTGAGAGAAGTCCTAGAACCTTCAAGGTGAGAAGACAGCTTGGGTTGGTGCCCCTTGGCGTTACCTGGCACAGCTGTCCCTGGAGGTTGCAGAATGCGCCATAGGCAGGAGAGAGGCCTGGGGCTTGGGCTGTAGCCCTGCTGCGCAAGACAGGGACAGGACGGGCTCTCGCATGGCTGCGAGTCTCCCTGTTGCCACAGGAACGGCCTGAACTGAATGGCCCTTTCATGGGGCAGTGGGAGGCGAGCTGATTGGCTGGGATCCCCCATACCCCACCCTGCCCAGTGTGAGGCCCCGGCTGCCCCACTCCTTCCACTGTTTACCCAGAGCTGGCAAGTACAGGCATGGGGCTCTAGGCGGTGCCTTCCCAGATGCCTGCCACCTTGGACAACAGGTACAGTCCCCTGCCAAGCTCCTCCTCCATGCCATCTTCACAGAGGTGCCCCCACTCTTCCTTTGCTTTGCTTAGTTTCCCCCTCTTGGGAAGTGCAGCAGCATTCCTCTGCACAGAGGCACTCATCTTCCTGTTGGGACATCTGAGCCAAGCAGCTGTCACCATGGCCAGCTGGTGCTGAACACCTATAGATCAAACACTGTGCATGCTGAGCACTTCACATACAGCTTCTGATTTCATCTTCTTGGCAGCCTCAACCCAACACTCACAGGAGCCTTGCCATTTGCCTGGCATTCTTCTAAGTGCGCTTCATACACAGAGTGTCCCAGAGGTCTTAGTGCAGGTTTAAGCTTGATTTCTTTTGGGTGTATAAATGCCTCAAACTTACAGACATTATTGGAAGGATTAAATTATTTAAATTAAATTGAAATGAAAATTAAAAATTTTAATTTACAATTCAGAAATATACAAGAAATTTAAATAGTGAAACTTTTTTTCTTTTTCCCCCCAAAAGATGACCGGTAAGGGGATCTTAACCCTTGACTTGGTGTTGTCAACACCATGCCCAACCAGTGAGCTAACTGGCCATCCCTATATGGGATCCGAACCCGTGGCCTTGGTGTTATCACTTTCTTTTTCCCCCAAAAGATGACCGGTAAGGGGATCTTAACCCTTGAGTTGGTGTTGTCAACACCATGCCCAACCAGTGAGCTAACCGGCCATCCCTATATGGGATCCGAACCCGTGGCCTTGGTGTTATCAGCACCGCACTCTCCCGAGTGAGCCACGGGCCGGCCCCTAAATAGTGAAACTTTTAAATGAAGTTTTTAGCATTTGTATTTTTGAAGTTATTAAAGCTCAAAACTGCACGAAGACTTCAGACACAGTATACTAACTCACTTAATCCTCCCAACTACTCGAAGCGGCAGGTGCTATTCTGATGCCCAAGAGCAGATGAGGACACTAGGGTTCCTAGAAGTGATGTGGATTTCCCAAAGTCATGCTGAGAGCAGTGCAAGAGCCGGGCTCAGCCTTGTGCTGTCTGCTGCAGCCAAGCCCCTACTTCACACTTCCCTGAACTCTCCTCAGGCTGGGGCAGGGCTGGGGACCATCTGGGTCGGAGTGAGGGGAAGGGGCACTACAGGATCCAGGTGTCCAGTGTCCAGCAGCAGCAAGGAGAGTACTGACTCCCGCAGGAGTGGCCCTCTGGAATTTCTACGGCAGGTGAATGAAAGCGAAGCCAGGTGCAACCTGAGCCCCAGAACAATACTGATCAGCCATGAGATGGTCCAGGAGGCCTCTATTTCACTGGTGGTGCCAGGCTCCTCCGTGTCCCCTGGCACCAGCATCTACCCCAGCTCAGGGCCCTTGGCCTCAGGCCTGATTATGAACTTGCCCCCCAGCCTCCTACACTGGCTGTAGCTTGGCCCACTCCCCAAAGTACCCACACTAGGTGAGTCAGGGGTTAAAATGAACCATGTCTCCCTAGCGCAGCCAATCTCCTTGTGTCAGCTACTGTCATTTCCTGTTGCTCACATGAAGGGCTCCCTAACCTGCTCATCCAGGGGAGGGACTTGCTCCTCAGGAATCTTAGGCGCTCCTAGCCCCATGGGCAGGGGATGGGTGATGCCCCACATCCAGCAACTCTCAACAGCCTCTCTCTGCTCCAATCCCCTTGGCTTTCTGGGGTCAAGGCATGGTGGCTTCTGTGGCCTTGCCACTGCTTGGATGGGGAGTCCCTAGCAGAGTTTCACCTAAACAGGGTTAAGTCCCTTCCCTCCTACCCAGGTGCCCAGGACAGGTGAGTGGGGAGTCTCAGTCAGTCCAGACAGGTGCTTGGGAACCTCCACAGTGGTGACCTCAGAGCTTCCCAAAGCTGTTTGCTAACAGCATCAGAATGTGCTGACCCTACCTAGGCTGGCCGGTTAGCTCAGATGGTCAGAACACAGCCTTATAACACCAAGGTCATGGGTTCGGACCCCTGTACTGGCAAGGTGACAAAAAAGAAAAAAAAAGTGCTGATCCTGAAGGGTAAGGGGGGGAGCGAGGGGCCCTGCCTCCCTCCATCCACACTCTCTGACATTCACTCCTATGCTCGGGTTGCCTGCTATACTGCCCAGGCACAAAAGTCCAATCCCAGAGGATCAGATTAAGGATGTCCTGGCAGGTGGGGAGGATGCAAGTAGAGTAGTGGGGTGGGGCCGATTCATGCTTGAACAGTCCAGGAACTCTGTCTACTCCTCTCAGGAGCCTCAGCCTGTCACCAGCAGCTCTATCTATCAGGGGCCACCAGGGACCCACCAGTTTAGTGCCTAATCCTCTTGCCTGCCTTGGCAGGGGGTCATCTAAGGAAATTTGGGTCCATCTCTGTCTCTCTTGCTCCAAGTAGTTGCCCAAGGGCTGGGGGAGGTAGGGGGAGGAGGTAAAATAGAGATTGGAGATTAAAGGAAGAATCCTGACTGGCAGAGAAATGGGTAGGCCCAGGGCAGTATCTCTATAGGGTGCTTCTTGATTTGGGGTTGGTAGGGGTGGGCATTGCTACACTTCCAAGAAAAGGCAAAGAAATGGGCTTCCAGGAAGTATTGGTATCCTTAAGTTCTCTTTTCCAGCCACCTCTGCCCAGGCTAACCTCCTGTTGCCCCCTCTCCAGACAAGAGTCCCAGGCTCCCTCCCTCTCCTCTAAGGCTTCATCTTTCTCTGTCCTCAGCCTCCTGAGGAGCCTTTGCTCTTGCCCCCAGCACCCATAGACCCAATGGGGTGGCCTCTCACATGCTCCCCCAAACTCACTGATGTCTGTCCTCTAGACAGTGGTCCAGTGAAGCTCATATACCAAAGGGGCAGCTACTGACCTGTGGCCGGGGGCACTGGATGGACCTGGGGGCTTCTCCTTCTCCAGCAGGGCAGGGTGCGCAGTGGCGAGCCCAGAAGCTGGAGTCTGACTCGGGGCTGGGTAATCCGGAGCTCAGGTTACTGACTCCGATATATATAGTATCTTATCTGACCTCGCAGAGATGCCAGTGCAACTCACTTGCATTCCAAGCCCTGGGAGAATTAAAGGGGCAGTGGCATGCCCACCCCTGAGGGGCTGCCCTGCTGGGCTGGTGCCAGCCAAGCAGACCTGCTAGGACTCTTGGAAGAGGGGGCATTTTGAAGTAGAACAGTAGGGGGATTCAAGGGGAGACAGACGACAGGAAAGAGGGTAGAGGGTTGGGGGTGGAGCTTGAGGCAAAAATAAGGGATTTTCTGGAGCTGTCAGTCACAGAATTAGAGAACAGGAAGAAGACTTACTTGCAAGTCCAACTCCTTTGATTCTGAGATGGAGCAGATTTACAGACAGAAAGCAGCTTGCTCAACAGCACACAGATAATGAGGGGCAGACAGGGGACCGGCACTCGTTTCAGTACTAAGCTCTTATAATGGACTTCAAGGCCTGCACTTCAATTCTTGTTCTTCCCTTATTGGCTCTGAGACAGTGGTCAAGTCACTTAAGTTCTTTGAACCTTAGTTACTTAATTTGTAACAGGAATAATAATAATGGTAAGACTCACAATTGTGAGGATTTTATTTAAAATAATATTTGTAAATTTCCTGGCACATACTAAGAGTTCAATAAATAATGATTATTATATTGAATTCTTCCACTTATTATTATAATTAGTGGTAATATTAGTAATAGCACCTTACCAGGTGAACCTCCCTAGGGAGAAAAGGGCCTCCAGGCTACCCCTCTGGGACTGTTCTGTTCTAATGCCCCATGTTTTTGGAACTGGTCCGTAACCCATAACTGGGAAGGGCAAATGAGGCTTGCCATCTTCCCAGATGTCCAGTTCACCAAACAGAGAAAGACCAAGCCCATCTGCGCTCCTTCCATCATTGCCTAGAAAAATATGGCAAGTGCAGCTTCCCCAAGCTGCTAGGAAAACGCCCGGTCCCTCTGGGGTGGTTCCACTCTACCTGTGCGAGGGCTCAGGATTCCAGGGCCACAGAGCCGGGCTGGGCAGGGTCACAAGAGGAAGGCCTCTCTGGCCTTGGTGCACTTGTCTGCTCCCGGGATGTTTCTCCTGTTTCTCGATGGCTCTCCCTGAGGACTGGGAGTACCCCAGGCTGGGGCCTCCACCCTGCCTCAGCACAGGCTACTGACTCAGCCCGGGTCCTGATGATGCACTTCAGAGGACGCCCTCACCGGGGCCCTCATTCCAGTCCTCATTCCAACTCCAGTCTGGCATGCATCTGTCAAAGGAGTGGGGAATGCCCCAAGCCTAGCCCCACCAGGTCTCCTTTCCTCACTTTACCGGTCCATTTGGGGGATGTTCTCATGCCCATGCCAGGGGAGGTGAGCAGCCCCTACTATTATCTCCAACTCAGCCCCATTCAAAAAGCAGCCTGGCCAGGAGGTGGGATGTTCACTCCTCAGAGGAGCTACAATGGGTTGGCTAGGGCTTGCCTTGGCTGTTAAGTGTTAGTGGTTTGCCTTGAAGCACCGCGTGCCTGCTTCTGGTTTGGGATTAGTAAGAATTTCAAAGATGCCTCTTTCTGGCTTGGGATTGGTGAAAAATCTCCCCCTCCGCTTAACTGCTGCCCTCTTACCTCCCCGCCCCCTTTGGGCAAACTGACCAGAGACAGCCCCTAGGAGCTTTAGGAGCAGAGAATGAGTGAGCTGTACGCACACGTGGGAGGGGGTTGTCAGTGACCAGGCTTCACACTCAGGCCACATACCACACTGGGCACAGAGACCTGGACCTGCCGAAGCTATATTTCCTTAGAACACACTGATCAGCACACAGATGGCTCTTCTTGGCTCCCTGGGCTGTCGGCTGACAGTCCCCTCACACAACTGGCACCCACAGCTGGAACTCCTCTACACAACTGGCCCTCGCCCTACATTTCTAGTGCCAATTCTGCCCAGGTTGTCGTGGACACCTCACTTTCCGAGCCTCAAACCCACACGGACCTCCGCATCCCCCCTCCCCAATCTCCGACAGGTGGCACGTACCTGCCTCTTCTCAGAGGATGAACGAGCCGAACCGGGCACAAGCATGGAGCTGCGGGTGAGTCCTGGCTGGTACTGGCGCGGCGCAGTAAGCGGCAGCTGACGCAGAGGGCTCCCTGGCCTCGGCTCCTGCCCGCCTCTCCCCCACCTCCGCCGGGGGCCCAGAAAGGACCTCCCCGGGAAATCGGCGCCACCCAGCGGGCAGCCGCTTCATTGCGCCCGGGCCGGCAAAGCCGCACTTCGCGTCTCGCGTCACTCAGACGCGTCACGGCTATTGGTTTGTTCCTATTGTGGCGTCATCAGAGCCCCGCCCAGCTAGGGTTTCCCAGGCAACTAGGATATATACAGAGAACCACGTGGAGGAAAAGCACGCGAATTTGGAGGGCGCGGAGCACGGAGAGAAGCCGACTGCAAAGGGACACTACAGGGCAGCTGGGAGGTATTGGGAAAGAGGAGGGGTCACGGGAGAAGGCTCAGAACTTGAGCCCCGGGCATATCACTTTCAGTGTTTAGAGAGGGCTAAATGTTCACGCGCGTTCCCACTCGGCTGGGGGAGGTCTTGTTCTCAGCCTCTTCTCTTTTTCTCTACTCTTAAAGGCACTTTCTGTTGATTTTACTTCATGGGACCAACGATTAGTGATGACTGCCTGAGTGGGTAAACGGAGGCACTGAGTCAGTGGAAAGAATTCTCTTCGGTCTTTTAAGAAAAAGCAGAGACAAAACTTGAATTTTTGCCGGTTCCATTCTTTGTATATAATCTCCCCCCGACCCCCCAGTGCTAGTGAAGAAATCCACCCAACCAGATAGATAGGTGCCAAGGCAAATCCAGGTTTTCAGCTTCACCATCAATCCTTCCAGGTGCCCTTAGCTCCTTCTCCCATTCTCCAGGACAGATATCTCTAACCCTCACCACTCAAGTCCTCCTCAAGTGCGTCCTTGTCTTTTTTCCCAGAGAAATTAGAGGCGATCAGGCGGGAACACTTAAACTGCTGCCGACAAACATATCTGAATCCATTCTTACCTCTGCTCCCAAGAGGTGTCCCAAGACCAATCCCTTCTGGATCTCAACACTTTACGTTTCTTTAGGGCCCTCATTCCATCACTTCATTTTACAGATAGTTATTGAATGTGCCAGGTACTCTTCTGGGCACTGAGGATACAGCAGTAAGCGAAACAGGCCCAATCTCTGCCTTCAAGGAGCTTACATTCTAGTGGAAGCAGAACAATAACCAAATAAGTAAAGTATAGAGTATGTTAGATGTCAGTGAGAGCTATAGAGGCAAATCAAGCAGGGAGGGGAATATAGAGTGTGTAGGGTGTGGTCAGAGATGCCTTAATCAGAAGGTGACATTTGAGTGACCTGCAGGAGGAGTGAGCCATGCACATATCTGGGGAAAGAGTGTTCTAGGAAACGGTAAGTGCAAAGGTCCTAAGGTGGGAGCTACCTGTCCCACCTCAGGGCAGATTCTTTGAGGAAGAACAAGATCAGCGTGGCTGGAGTGAAGAGAGAGGGAGAAGTTGGGAGATGAGGTCAAAGAGATAAGTGAGTGACTGCACCTTATAGAGCCTTAAGGCCATTCTGGTGACCTTGGCTTTTACTCTGAGATGAGAGCCACTGGAAAGTTTTGAGCATTGGAGGGACATGGATCTGACTTTTGTTTTAGCAGAATCCCTTTAGTTACTGTATGGAGAACAGATGTGGAGAGAGCCAGAGTGGAAGCAGGAGACCATTTAGAAGGTCATTGCATTCATCTGGTGAGAGATAATGGTGGCATGGGGTTAGCATAGCAGCAGGAAAAGTGGATGGGTTTTGTATGTGTTTTGAATGTAGAGTCAGTAGGATTTTCTGATTGATTAGGTAGTGTGAGGGAAAGGGAGGAATTTTTTTACCTTAATATTAACTGAGAAGGGGAAGGCTGTGGAAGGAGCAGGATTTGGTTGCAGGGGATGGGAGGGAGGGAAGGTAGATTAGGAGGCTGGTTTAATACATAATAAATTTGAAGTATCTATTAGGCATCAAAATGGAGACGTCAAGAAAGCATTAGAGGGCCGGCCTGGTGGCGCACTGCTACAGTGCACCACTTGGGAGTGCGGTGGCGCTCCCGCCGAGGGTTCGGATCCCACATACAGACCGGTTCCCGCTCACTNCTGAGAGAGGTGATGAGGGAGGGAGGGTGGGAAGTCTGGAGAGAAGAGTTAGGAAATAGCTAGAGCGGTGGTTCTCAGACTTGAGTGTCTCAGAATCACCTAGAGGGGCCTGTTCAAGCTTCCCACCTCCTAGACTTATGATTCAGTAGGTCTGGGGTGGACATGAGAATGTGCATTTTTTAACAAGTTCTGGGTGATGCTGCAGCTGAGAATGCTGGGCTAGAGAGGGGAGAGGGAGTGGACTGTGGAAATGCGGTGTGGTTGTCGGGCAGCATCAGGGGCCTATTTGGGGTTAGAAATCATGACTTGAAAGTGTCTCCAATCAGCACTCTTTCTCATATTTATATATCAATCACTTGCATGGCTTTGGAGTCCTATATATTTATTTATTTATTTAATTAATTTTTTCCTTTTTGTCTTTTTTCGTGACCGGTAACGGGATTGCAACCCTTGGTGTCGCGCCCGTACCGCGACCGGCAATGGGATCGCAACCCTCGGTGACGCGCCTGCACCGCGCTCAACTAGTGAGTGGACCAGTCTCTATATGGGATCCGAACCCTCGGCGGGAGCACCACCGCACTCCCAAGCGCCTCACTCTACCGAGTGCGCCACTGGGCCGGCTCTAGTCCTATATATTTAAAACTTCCATTTTCTACTGACTCTGCCATATAATAGGATGGAAGTCTTAAAAACAAACAGCCCCAAACCAGAAACAGAACAAGGGCAACAACAGCAGAAAAAAACCATGAAAATCTTTAACTTAGGTTCTGACTCTCTCCTCTTCGCAGTTCTCTTGGCAGACTTGTGCATACTGGATTTCCCTGCTTCCTATTACATGAAGCATGCACATGTTTTCTCTCCCTCAGGCCTTGGGAAACTTCTCTTCTGCAGTCATTACTCATCTCCTAGAGGCTAAATCTTTGGATGCTTTTCAGTTACGATCAACGACTTGACCTCCTGCACTTTTAATACCTCCAAACATTTGCTTCTTGTGGTTCTCTTCCCCTTTAAGTTTTGTAACCCAGTCCTTCCTGGTTTTCCTCCTGACAGCTCCTCCTCATTCCCCTTTTTCTCTGGTGTTCCTTCATCCTCTTTATTTCTAGGGTGGCTTATAGCATCGAGGTTGTTATAAGTTCAGGTTGTAGATTTACTGGGATAACTTCTGATTCCTCTGGTTCCTAATTGTGACACTTGAAACATTTATATCTGTTTCTTCATAAATGAGAAAAATAGGGATAGTAGTAGCACCTGCCTCATAGGGTTGATTTGAAGGTTTGAGTTTATATATATATGTATATACATACACTTTCACCCAAGCCCTGGAGGAAGTGTTTCCTGTTATTAAATGGCCAGCCAGTGTGCACTGAGATGTCTGTTGCCTAGTTCCTGCTAGTGTGGTCTCTTCAGGTGCGGTGTCTCTCTGCTACCTCTAAGGTCACTCTTGGGCTCATGGGAATCATTCTGCTGCTACTGTGCCCTGGAGTAGCATGAGGAAATGTGAGGCTGTCCATGGTTCCAGCTGCCTCCAAAATAGGCTGCACTTTCTTCTTTCTGGGGCCTTGTCTCCTTCCTGAGGCTCTACCCAGGATATAGGGCTGAGACTCCACTGCTATCAGATCTGAGACCTGTTTGAGGGTTTTGCTGTCTCTGTATGCTCAGGTGCCTGAGGATTGAGGACAGAACCCACCATATCTGTGCTCTTATCGCTTTCCTTCTGGTTTTTGTCTGCTGGTGGTAATACCAATGTGAGGCCTGGCTTTACCTAAGACCTTTCTGCACATCTTTTGTCCAGGTTGGAATCTTTTCTGTTTTCTTAAGGGCCTAGGCAACTGAAATTCAAAGCCAGAAGTGCCTTTGCATTTCCCCCCTTGTTGCTGTCTCATGATGGGGCCAGTGAGGGCAAAAGCAACTGGAAATCCTAAAATCAGGAAGGCACTGGATGTCTGGGTAAAGAACCTGACACACAGAGAACATCTAACTCTCATCTGTATCAGAACAAACTGGATTTA